CTCCTGGTGAGCTTATGTGGGGGCTTTGCAGCTCCTTTGAGCTCTGCTGATGCTTCTTGCAGGGAAGTACCTTTGCTCGCTGCAGGTTTGCTTTGCCTCAGTCCTTCCAGTGAGGAGCTATGGGCATGTGCTGAAATAAATGGTTGCTCTCCCTCAGGTACTCTCCAAAATCCTTGCTTGTAGGTGCGTATGAGGCAATGGAAAAGCTGTGGGGAGGTCAGTGCTCATCAGCATTTCAGGCTCATTAATCCATCTCACCAAGTGGAATTCACCCAGCCCATGAGCTCTCTGCAGTGGGAATGTCTTTGAAATGGGGGGAAGTAATAGCACTAAATTGTTTGAGAAATAATTTCAGTCTCTGCTTCTCAATAGATAAATCTGCTGTCCAAACCCCTGAAATTTAATCTGTCCATCTAAACTAATGGATGAGCTGCGACTTGAATCCAAATGTGAAGGGGAAGGCAGAGTTTCTGTGGACATGTTCTATATCATTTCTGCATCTGCTCCTCTGCACGGGGACAATGGGGCGAAACATGAGGAGGAACAAAGCCACGCAAGATGTGGTGCTGCTGGTGGAGGGGGTAAAAGCTCCGCTTGTGCTTTTGACTCGTATTACTGCTCCCAGACCTCTCCTGGTAACACCCTGATGTGGAGGCGAGCGAGGCTGGGCAGAGCCATTGGAGAGATTGGATAAAGGTCATGATCTGCATGGTTTTAAATGCAGTTATGTCGGTGCAGCCCTGTGGTTCCTGCTGCGTATTTGGGTGCTCTTGGACTTTTCATCTGCTCTTGACTTAGGGGCAAACAAAGGGAGTTTTGATGCCCCTTTGCAGCGTCAGGGTAGCTCAGGGAAGCTTGACGCGGCGTGGGGAAGCACCCTTTGGCTTTCTGAGAGGTTTGCACCGTTTCCCATTGACTGGTGCAGATGATGGGTTTTCTCAATGAGACCCTCCCTTCCCCGCTGCAGAAGCTGTGATAAGCAGATGTTCGCAGCTCCCGGCTGGGACTTACTTTGCGCCTGGTGCTTTCGGGCCATGCCAGCAGCGAGATAAGAGGAAATCTGACATCACGGTCAGGAAGCACTAAAGAAAGTCCCTTTCGTCACTGGCAGTGGGCTGTTGGGGTGGGCAGCGCTGCGGCATTCCTCACATGCAGCAGGACCCATTCCAAGCCCATGGCTTTGGCTGCGGTTCAGCACGGGGCTCAGTGCCGCCCAGGGCTATTATGTGCGGTCCCTCGCAGCTCAGGCCAACGCTGCCTCCCCAAAAAGGCCTTTCTGAAAAGCTGCAAGCCGCTGGGTGATCCAGGATGCTCTGCCTGCCCCATCCTCAGGCTCCCAGAGAAGCTGTGGCTGCCCCATCCCTGGCAGTGTTCAAGGCCAGGTTGGACACAGGGGCTTGGAGCAAGCTGCTCCAGTGGAAGGGGTCCCTGCCTGTGGCAGGGGTTGGAGCAGCTTTAAGGTCCCTTCAGCCCAAACCAGTCTGGGGTTCTGTGTTTTGATGATGTCTTTCTTTTTCCTACATTTTCTCACATTATTGTATGTCTCTTGGAGACTCCCAAACCTCGCACCTCTCTCCCTTGTGCCATCCCAATTGCAGGGACCAGGGGCTGCTCAGATGCTCACATTAGCATCCTCCAGATCCCACCTCGGGCAGTTTGGTTGCTGAGCAAATGCTACTGCATTTACCACCTTCTTCTCCACCTCTTTGCCATCTCCCTCGAGCGAACAGCCCTGCCGGGAGCAGGAAGGTGTGTGCCCTTGGCAGGGCAGGGCAGGTTCATTCACCTGATGGTGTTACATGGTGTTTAAAAACAAGCAAAGCTGTTCTGAAACTCATCGAGCGCAGGTGCCGGGGCCCTTCTGCCGGCAGCAGGAGTGGGGCTGTGGCTGCTGCCTCTGTAGTGTTGGCTTCTCATAACCCTCAGAGGCTCAGGGCAGAACTGACCACAGGTTCCTCTCATCTATCAGCATGCTTCAAGGTGCTTTGTTTTAGTGGATGAGTTTCTTGCTGCCTGTGGTACAGTCCCATCCCTGCCCCCTTCACCTCTTTGCTCTGGCTTTAGGAATTCCCTCTCCACCGCACCTTGGATGCACATTGCAGTGCCTGGGGAGCTCAGCCTATGCCAAGGACTTGTGCCATGGCTGCTTTCAGAGCCTGCCCGGTGTGCAGTGAGGGATGCTGATGGCTGCGGAAGATGCTGTGCTCTCTGGGGTCTGTATCCAGAGCTGAGCATCCCGGTTGGTGATGGTGTCTGTCCCAGAAGTGATGGCTGGTTGATACTGGGGTTGTTTTGGGTGCAGAGGAGGGCGATGGTGGAACTTGGGGTGTGCGGTGCTTGGGCTCCCACTGGCCCTTGCACCGAAGGAGATTGTAGTGCTCAGGTCTTGCTTGGAGCATATAAATGACACTATTGATTTTGAGCCTGGCAGGTGGTGAATGAGGCCCATGGAGAACATTGATTTCCCTCTCTCCCTTTCTCCTGTGGAGTGTTTGCTTGTCCAGAGGTGTGATTGACTGGTAAATGAAATGGCCTCTGCACAGCTTATTTTCAATTGTAGCTAATTTTAACATGGGGCCATTGAGTACCATAGTTAACAATTCATGACCTTCCATCACCAGCAAACCAACCTTGAGACACCTGTGAGCAAAACCACATGGAGGTATTTGCAGATGGGCAAGAAAGAAATAGCCCAGGAGCAAACTGTGCCACAGACACGCACACGTGGGTCGTACCCACCCTGACTTGTTGTGCGTGAGAAGTGGAGCTAAAACCCGACCTGTGGCCATCATCACGTGGTGGCTTTTCCTGTGGGCAATGTGGTGGCCTGGCTCTGCTGCCAGCTCCCTGCTGGTGGAGCAGGACCATGGTGCTGCTGCCTTGGTTTATTGTGGTTTACATTAGGCCTTTTCAGCAACTCTGTGAATAGATCAGTGGCTTCTGCATCGGTGCTTGTCCCCTGCCTGCGCTTGGCCATGCTGGAGCTGGGGCTCCCGCTGCAAATAAGGTGTTTGCTTGCTTGGCTGTAGGATCTCTGCCATCATTCAGGACAGAGGCGGGGTGAGCTCTGTGCAGCGTTTGATCCACAAACACACAGTGCAGAGGGTTCAGGCTCCCACACCAGTGGGGGCCTTCCTCTTGGCTCAATGCGACCACTGTGAACCTCTTTCCTCCCGAGCCCTTCAGCCCTCATGGAGTGAGTGGGAGGTGGGCAGGGAATGCTGCAGAGACTGGGCAGCACTGCGAAGGGTGCAGTGTCTTGCTGTGTGTAACTGTGGCTATAACCCGTGTCATTAACTTTCGAAACTAGAGGCTTAAAAGGGTTTAAAATAAACATGTGCTAGAAATGGGAATCAATGAGGCTGCAGCGCCACAGAAAACGCCCCTGCTGCAAGCCCAGGGTGTGAATTCTTGCAGAGACCAAAAGATGAAGCTATGAAATAACCCGTATTGGTGCGAGGCTGTAAAGCGATTCCAAACTAGCCGCTCAGTCTCGACAGATGATGTTTACCGCAGTGTTTATGCGAGGTGGAGGAATGCCCTAGAAAACCAGAACTGGTTTCAATTTCTGTTTCTGGCACTTGCTTGTCTATGGGAAGGCTCTTGTTGTGATGGGAACACCCTGTGCAAGCCGTCCTGTGCTGTCGCTCCACGGCTCTGTGTAGAGGGGGCTGGCATGGGTGAGAAGAGTGAAAGATTCTTTCTTTGCGTAGGTGGATGAGCCTGCTGTTAATGAGGTGGTTTTGCTAATCCATCGCCACAAACCTCACATATAATCCCAAACACAACGATAAGGATGAGCTGCATTGCTGTCACGTCTGTGGAGATCTGGTGGTCCCAAAGACTCTGCTTTGATTCTCTTAATTAAAAGAAAATTAAGCTATTTTACATTATTAAGTTAATAATAATTAAGCCTGGTTAAGTTATTTGACGTTTGCAAGCTGTGTTTTTGTGTGGTGCTGGTTTGATGACAACTTGAGGAGCAGAGACAGCACTGTGTGATCCATGAAACCACATGGATCAAACCCACCCAATGGCAGCTTGAGTCTTGTGCCTGTTCATCATGAGGGGATGAATTCACCCTTTGCATGGATTGATTTACTTAGAACTCTAACATATTTATTATGTATTTGTGAGGAATTTGCTGAAAAAAAGGAGTCATTTAAAAGCACAGCAATAAATTGAAGGGGGTTTGTGGAATAGTGCGAGGATGCAGAAAGAAGTGCTTTAAATTGGCTTGCTCAGCAGAGTCAGTCCATCCTGATGAAGGTGATGCAGCTGCAGAAATGAAGCGGGTTTTTATTCTCCTCCAGCCCCTTGCAGGCGTCACTGCTGGAGCGAGACTGCAGTGCCCAGACTTCAAAATCCTCCCAAACAAATGACCAATTATTGCATTAGTCAAAGACAGGATTTTCTCGACAGAGAAACATGGTGTTGCTCTGCCCATTGACCCAGCAGAACAACTGAGTGTGGTCCCTGAGGGGGGAGGTTTCTGCCTCTTCAAATGGGTGAAGATTAGAGATGAGCAAAGTGTTGTGGAAACAGTCCTGGGGATTGCCCTGGTCTTGGGAATGAGACCTGAGTTGGGGCAGGAGATGTAATGTGCCCCTTCTATAGGGAAGCAAATGGGATCATGCTGGAGATGGTTAGAAGTTCAACACTGGGTTTCTGTGCAACATCAGCTGTAACTTATATTTGTCTATGACCTTGAAAGGGGAACTCCTGGCTTGAGTTTTCCAGCCCTTCTGCAGTGTTATCTTCTGTGACGCTTGTTTTCCAAGAGGAGGTTTGTTTGGTGCCCAGCTGAGGACACAGGAGTGCTCGCAGGCACCGTGAGCCTGGCATCTCCAGTGACAACAAATGAGCTAGTGCCGGCCTCTTCAGTGCGGCTTTCTGAGTCCCTGACAACTTGTCTCGTGTGAATTTGGCACGGTAAATCTCAGTTAAGATGTGTGCCTGCCTTGCTCACCTTTCCCCCTCTCTTCTTTTGTTTCCTGCAGTTTCTCTGCTTGAAGAACATCCGAACCTTCCTCAAAGTGTGTCATGACAAATTTGGGTTAAGAAACAGTGATCTGTTTGATCCCTTCGACCTCTTCGACGTACGGGATTTTGGAAAGGTAAGGGTGACTCCTGGGGGTAATGGTTCTGGCACCGGGGGTTCTTTGGGCTTATGCTGCAGGCTTTGGATGAATATATGAATGTTTTGTGGGTTTCTGAGCAGCTTCTGTGCCCTTAACCCATTCACTGGGCACCTGTTTCCCTGTGCTTCGAGTATTTGCTTATGTAGGGGATGGTGCTGCTGCGTTCTTGGTTAGCGAAGGGAGATGAAGCCCTCAAGCTTTCTGCTGTAGATTGCAAAGCAATCTAAAAACCTCTAGAGTATGTGAAGAAATGTCTTTTTTTGAGGGAATCAGAATATCTGTGCGTTCATAAGAGCTGTTGGAGAAGGTGGTAGCCCTGGGGGCTGCTGCTGCTGTGGGGTTGGAACACCAGGTCCTTTTCCCAGCTCCTGCTGCCCCGCTGGGTGACTGGGGCAGAGCCACACCACCTCCTTGCCTGCGAGCTCCCCGTGGGGATGCTGCTGTCAAACCAGTGTTAAGCATCATCCCAGCCTGGGGTTGAACCACGTCTGTGCCGTTGTCACCTGCGTGGGAGAGGAGAGAGCAGGGTTTGTGTTTGCTGTAAGGGCTGGTTGGCACCAAGAGCTGAACCAGACCCAGCTGAAAGGGGGGAAAATCCTTCCTGATTTTGACAAGTGGCTGCTTGTCCATAGCCCAGCTTTTGACACCAACAGCATCGGAGCTGTGCTGTTACTCTGATGGGTACTGCGCTCAGAGAAGCCATTACACAGGGCAGTCGCTATATTCTTCAATGGAAAAAGTGTTAAAAGATTTATTAAAGCTCTATTGTTTTACCTATTTCCAGCTACCAGGCATAAACTGCTGGAAGGCATCTTCTCTTCTGATTATCCAGAGAGTAGAATTGCACTGCTGATGGGGATATATTGTTTGATATTTATTGCCTAATTTATTTCTGGACCATTATCTGGAATGTGCAATTGTAGGGGCTTGTTTTATGAGTTTTTGTGATTTATGAAATACAAGGCGGCTTTTGTTGTTCTGGGAATATGAATGCACAGAAGGAACCTTTTGGGCTGGGGAAAGAACTGCTGCTAATTAAAATGCTGCTTTATTGTCACATTGCTTCTTGCTTTGTGCTGTTTCAAATTGCCTAAGATGCCTGTTAACAGAGTTAAACACTGCTGGAACGTGTCAGCTGAACACAGTTTGGTTTCCTTTTGGTCTGGTTAGGGAACAGCTATTCTCTCCTCCTTATGGTTACTTTTTGGGGGAGCGTTCAGGTTTGTGGCTTGGGGAAGGGAGAGGATTTGCCATTCCCTCTTTCCTTGTGGCAGTTTAGGTTTTTAGGAGACTTTGGAAAGAAACTTGTCATAAACTTCCAAGAAATCCAAATGTACTTTATTGCCTGGATCTTGCTTATTTTCACATGCATTGCCATCCTCAAACAACCTTCTAAACTGTGGGAGGCGCAGATTCTGTACACAAAATCCTCGCTGATCTTTTCCCAGTGCAGCTTTTTATCAGTTCACTGGAGGTATCAGCTCTTCAAGGCTGCACCACCCTAAATCCCTCTGGAAGCCTGTCAAAACATCCCCATTGTCTTTGCCACCTTTCATTCCCACATTGTCCTCAGATCTGTGTTCAACAGCGGCAAAGCAAACAAACAGGGAAAAATCTGCTGTCGACCAAAGCGTCTTTCCTTTTTGAGTCGCAGTGAGAGCAAAAGGAGTCTCTAATCCGTGTTCCCACTGAACAGTCCCGGGCTTCACACACACAAACTTCTTCCTGGAGCCATTCATCCCTTGGATCAACAGGGCTTTTGGTTACAAGGCGTTAGGCTGTGTAGGATACTTTTTTAAGGACAGCATAGTAACAGTTGACCATTTAATTACATAGAAACCTTGGTGGGGTTGTGTTGGGTGTTTCCTTTCTGGATGCCACTGAAGTGGTTACTTCTCCAAACCAGAAGGCCAGTGAGGCAGTGACTGCTATAGTAGCATCTGGGCTTGCTGCGGTGTAATTACCCAGTAGAAAGGCAGGGGCTTACATTCCTGTGGTACCAACCTGTATGCGCAGGGCTTGTGCTCTGGAGTCTGCAGAGTCCTTCAGGGTTTCTTAGTGAAAGAAAAATGTTGGTGCTTTAAAAGAGGAATCAAAATCGGATCTGAGTCTATCCATGGCTGGCTGCTATTCCGAGAGGGGTTTCCACAGCTCCCTTTGGCTTCTGAGCCAGCACTTCATCGAGAAGGAGCTGTGGAGCCTCCTCTGGGGGAGCAAGTGTGACTGGGGGCTGCTCGAGTCCTGGAACAGGAGGATTTTGCCCCTGGTTTTGCCAGTTCCATGAGTTTTAAGCTTGGGAAGTGACTGCTTCCTTCCTGTCACCAGGATCACAGCTGGTGAAAGGGGATCGTGAGCCATCTGGGCTTCTCCGGCCGAAATCCCTGCGGAGCTGAAAAGCTCCATCTCTGCCTTTGTGGGATGCCGGGTAATTGGCAAGTGCAGGCTTCTCCCAGATAGATGCGTCATGTTTCTTGTAATCCTGGTGCCGTGTTTCCCAGTCCTGCGAGGGAGCCGAGAGGCCTCTTCAGATTGCTCACAGCCACTGTTCTCCCCAGCGTCCCGTTGTTCAGCAATCCCGCTGTGACCAGAGGCATGCTGTGTGTCATGACAGAGGCTTCCAAAAGTGACCTGAGATGCTGACCACCTCTGTCTCTAGTTGTGCCCCTTTGACACCTCGAAAGACTGTGTTGTTATATTGATGGGTACAAGTTGGCTCTTTATTGTTGTTTTGTGTATCTTATCCCTTTAAAGCGGCTCAGAAGGCACTGTCTGTGATCACTGCTGGCATCTGCCCGAGTGGTCCTCTGTGGCCGCGTCTCGCTGCAGGATGCAGAAGCGGTGCAGTGTCCGTGCTGCACACAAGAGAACCCCCGTTGCCCCCACCTTGTCCCTCATTAGGCTCTGGGCTGGCAGAGGGAGCCCTGGGGTGCTGGGCTCAGGTTCCCTGGTTCAGCCTGGCTCAAAAGAAGTTGGTGCTCGTGCCCCGTGTGCTGTTTTACTTCATGCACATTTAATAGCCGTCGTGGTGTAAAATGTAACTCCTGTTGGACTTGCTAATTTATTGGCACCAGCCATAATGAGATAAAATGTACATAAATATGGATTAAACTCTTCATCACTCTGTTAGTCAGCGTGGGGGCAGCGGGGTTCATTAGAGGCAGTTACTCATTTTCAATAACTTGCAGTAATGTACTTTCTTGAGAAATATAGTTCAAATATTCATAAAGCGATGGAGCCCTGTGTCAGCTCCACTGCTCCCTGCGCATGTGTCAGCTCCTGCTCCTCCTGTGCTCCTGCCGTGGGTTTCATTGTCCTAACTTCTTTTGAAGTTCCTGTGCTATTTGGAAAAGCTTTTTTGTGAGGCTGGGGCCTTTCCTACCCTGACCCATGACACCAAGTGATGCTGTGATTGCAGCAAGAGCTGCTGTGGTGGTGGGAAAGGATGGGGATGTGCTGGTACCATTGGAGTTGAGGCGCTGAGTCCCCTCTGTAAAGCATCTGTGTCTTCAGAATGGTCTTTCCTGTAACGGCATCCCCGTCCACCTGGGGGTGGGAGGGTGTTGGGGGAGCATGAAGGGACTCGGCTGCATCATCCCCTGACCCCCTCCCAACACACACACAGCACCCACTTGCCCGAGAGCCAGAAAATTGGTTTCTGCTCGGTTTGAGGCAGGAGGGTGGGGAGCGTTGTCAGAATTATTGAAGGGATTAATAACTGAGACGTGGTGGTTTGTGTTTCGTTTCTCTGCTGAGAATTCCCCTCCCTCCCTCAACTCTGACCTCATGTACAAGTCAACGTCCTGCAGCAGCGTTTTAAAGGGTGCTTTATTAACAGAGTTTGGGCATATGAAGGGAGAAACGGGGAGCTTTACATGGCATAGTGCAGGTAGCTGAAAATTGCAAGGCTTTCGGATCAGCTGCCTTTTGGTGCTGTACCAAAGCAAGCCCAGTGCCTGCCCTCCTGCAGTGCCCTGCTGGTGCTGGGACCAGCCCTCCTCCTCCCATTCCTGATTTTTGTTTTTTTTCCTGATGTCTTGTAGCCAGGAACAAGCTAAAAGCAGAGGTTTTCCCGAGTGCATGAAGCGATGGGTCTGGAGGGGAGAGCAGCGCTGGGCAGTGCCGCACGGCTCTGCAGTGCTGGGAGGGGGCTGTGGCTCTGCCTGTGCCTCCTGATTGCTCTCAGATCCCAGGGGACCAGGCAGTCGGACGGACCCCCTGGTTGTGTCCCTCCGTGCCAGTGACTCAGATGCTGCTACGTGGTGGTTGGGTGCTTGTCAAGGAGATGCTGTCGCAGAGGGAAGTGTTTCTAACTGCTGTGTAGCTGCACCGTGCGTGTGCTGCAGGTGGGGAGGGGAATTCTCCAAAAGGGTGTGTGTTGCTTTATTCTTTCTTTTAACTCCCTAGAGAGCAGTGCAGTAACTGCAGAGAGGATCCTGGGTGTGACTGTGGAGAGACCAGGGACATGCTCACCGCTGCCCTGGCAAGCTGTGGCTGCCCCATCCCTGGCAGTGCTCAAGGCCAGGTTGGACACAGGGCTTGGAGCAAGCTGCTCCAGTGGAAGGGGTCCCTGCCCGTGGCAGGGGTTGGAGCTGGAGGAGCTTTGAGGTCCCTTCAACCCTGAACCAGTCTGGTTCTGTGCTTGTTTTTCCAAGAAGCTGAAGGTTCATGTGCAACTTTGCTGCTGCCCACAGGGTTTTGCCTCGAGCCCTGGGTGCTGCAGTCCCTGCCTGAGGGAGCAGCCCCAGCTCCAGGAATTGTATGGGAGCGTGGGAAGCAGCCCGTGGGTGCCTCTGCAGGGCCGTCACCCTGCCAAGCTGATGATTAACTCCCCAGTTGCCTGCAGGAGCTGGGGGTGGTGTTTGATCCTTCTCTGCTGGCTGCTGTTTGCTTGGCTGGCGTTAGGTCAGCCGGTGTTTGTCCACCAGTGTTTCAAATGGGTTTGCTGGAATTTTACTGGAGACTTGGATGTTGGGATG